GGGAAGGGAGGGCGAGCCTGCCGAAGGAGCCGACGCGGAGGGCGCGGGGCTGAGCCCCAAAGGAAGAAGGAAGAGGAATGGGGAGAGCGAGGAGCAGCCCTGTGCGCAAGGAGAGAAGAAGCCAAAGAAGAGACGGCGGTCTCGCAGCTCGTCTGAAGAAGGAGTGGATACTGAGGGGGGAAAAAACAGCAGATGACAGCACTGCCTCAGAGAGGGGAGGAAATAGAAGGAAATCGAAAGTACTGCAAGAGAGTCCTGGAGCAGGTAACGGCAAACTGAGGCCCAAGGATTTCTGGTCATTGTGGGCAACAGCCCCCAACAGAGTAGATACAAGTTGCCCTTAGAGTAACTTGCCGAATTTACCTGATAGTAAATCTTGTTTTCCTCTGCTTAATATATTTCCAAAGTAATTCCTTTTTTAGGGGAGCACCCCTTATTGCAAGCTTTGAGGATCAGTTTAGTCTTAAGGGAAGGATGGAAGCACGTCACTTCAATCTTCAGTTGCCTCCATACCAACAAGGAAATGTTTGGCTTTTGCACTTTAGATTTAGGAAGAAAGAGGAGTTTTCAAGCTGTTGCTTAAGTTTGTTGGTGTAAAAAGTTCCCTACATCCGTTTTCTGTAGCATGTTCTGACCTGCAGCTTTGTATTCCTGTTATCCAAACTCCAGATTCTGAAGAAGATATCAAACAGAAGGAAAACAGAAGCAACTCTAAAAATAGGTCTTCTAAAAGGAAGAAGGGGGATGAGGAAACAGAGGAAGGTGAAACAAGGAAGAAAGAGAACAGTGAAAGAACTGAAGAAAATCAAAGCACGAAGGAGGAGTTACTACCCTTAGCAGCCTCAGAGGAAGAGACAAATGTTCCACCCTCCAGTTTAATGGTTCTTGGAGACTATGATAGAAAGCCAGTGCAGAAGGTAACTAGCTTGACTGAATTTTGGTGATGGTCAGGAAGAAACATGTATCTTACCAGTTTATTTTATGTATGGCATTATCTGTTTGACAGCAGAAATGCTTTGTTATTCTCATTTCCCCCACCTCAGGTTCAGCCCTTCCTACCACAGTGGCTTGCTCAACCCAAACGAGTGCAAAAACGTATCAAAGATAATCTAGTTCCAATCGGAGATGTCCCAGGAATTCATCCCAGACTGTTGAAAAAGCTGCAAATGAATGGGATAGAGTTCTTTTTTCCAGGTAACTTGATAGTGCTCTTGTTTCTTTCTGAACTGACTTACATAGTTCCTGCAGTCTGTTGCTGTATATTTTATGTAGTCAGTGAAGTAAAATATAGCCCAAAAAACAAGCTTAATGCATCAATGTGATTGTACCAGTTTTAACCCTTCACTTTCAAGGCTTTATCTAGGCTGATTAATTTAAATCTGTTATCTAGTCTTAAATGCAGCTCCACAAAATACTATGGCTTGAAGTAATAGCTCACAGCTGCCAAAAGAGGGAGGTCTTACTTTTGTCCTCCCATTTTTCCCCTTATGTCAGGCATGTGCTTTAGTTCCTTCATCTCTGCTGCTAATCAGACCTCTGTGAGAACCTGTTCAACTCATTAAAGCAGCAGAAAATCACTTGAGCAAAAAAAGCTGTTGGTTTTCCATTATTTTACCAGTTTTACAAACAAGTACAATGAGTGCTGTCTCTTAAATAAGCAGCAAGCACAGCTGGAAGCAGGGATAAGAAGAGAAAGAGGCAAGAAGGCAAAATCTCTGGCCCTCAGTCAATTACATGATCCAGCTGAGCCTTGAGGCTTATGCAGGCCCTCATCAGGGTTACATTGGAAAGCCATCATGTGTCTTCTCTTTTAAAGTGTACCGTTAAGTAACTTTTTAATGTAAATGCTGTTGCTTATTTTGCCCTGGAAGATCTTAATAGGCTGCTGATAGCAGTTTCTTGTATTTTCTCATAAATCAAGTCCAGGTTATGGCATTTGGTAGCAGATGAATCAAGTAGTGTCACACTCTGAAGATGGAGTCCGCTGAAGTCATACATTGTATGTATCGCTGAGTATGGTCTTGTCACAGAGCTGGATCCTCTGGCTGCTAAATTTTGTAGATAAACCAGAGCTTTCCAGTTTGTCAGGGCTTGTCGTGGAGCGGGGAGGTAGTTGATGCATAACAGCCAAAGCTGTTGTCTGTACAAGACTGTTTGCTTCAGTCATTGTTTATTCTTCTGCAGCAAACTTGACTCACTCCGAAGCCTTTAGGAGTTGTGTGTTTTGCTCCCTGGCAGATAAGGCCACATTGCCTTCTATGTTCTGTGTTTGTGTCAGAGTAGTTTGTGCTTCAAAGAAAGCATGCTTGAGACAAATACTCACAGGTTTTAAATCTGCCCAGTACCATCCTAACATGAGAACAAGAAGACAGATACAAGTTGAAAACAATTTGTAACACAGTAACAGCCTGGCTGAGCACTAGAGCTAGCTGAATCATTGGAGGTGGAAATACCTGTATTCAATGCTAAGCTCCCATGAATGAACAAGAACCAGCTAAACCCAGAGAGTATCTCTATTGGCAACTGGTTTTGATTTCCTCCTCTCTTATGTTTGTAGCAACAACAGCCCAGATGTAGAAGCATACAGTGTATCTGTGTATATCACTGTGTATAATTGCTCTTCTGGATACACTTGTTTCAGTCCAGTTCAGTAACTCTGCAGTTAATGTTTGTTTCCATTTTTGTTCAGTTCAGGCAGAGGTGATTCCTGCTATTCTGGAGAGTGCATCCAATGGGTATTTGCTGGGGCAGGGAGGATACCGCCCCAAAGACATCTGCGTCTCAGCACCTACTGGCAGTGGTAAAACCCTGTCTTTTGTCATACCCATTGTACAGGTGAGTTTACCTCCAGTGAAATATCTGTAGGGAAAATGCTGGGGTTCAAGTAAAACCTGAACTTAGAAGCAGGTCAAAAAGATGGGGAATTTGTGGATGCAAAGCAAGAGATTTTTAGCTTAGAGCTGTCTAAGGTAGCTGTATGAGTTTGTTTTGTCTCAGCATCTCATTCCCTTTCTCAGACAGCAGTCACAGCATGAGGAGTTGAGAGGGTGAAGGGGAGTAAAATGGAAATGTAAAACTCCATGAGGATGTGTCAAGCCCTTCTTTTCTCACTATATTAGGTTCAAGAACCCCTTTCCCCCCTCACTGCTTGCAGAGACTCATTTGGCCTTTGTTTTGGCAGGTTCTGCTGGATCGAGTAGTTTGCCAAGTACGAGCTCTTGTTGTTCTGCCCACCAAAGAGCTGGCACAACAGGTATGTGGCTCTTCACCTTCTCCCTGACCAGAACTGGACCAGGACAAAGGCTGGTGCAGTCAGTACTTTGCTTGGCTGTTCTGTGAGGAAGGTTGAGGACCTGCAAGGGTATCTGATGTTGTTAGCTGATGGAAAGTAATTTTAACTAATTTCTTGGGGCTAACAAAGCCTGTTTCTTTGCAGGTGAGTAAAGTGTTCAACATTTACACTGATGGAACAGGTCTGAAGGTCGTTTTGATTACTGGCCAGAAATCATTTGCAAAGGAGCAGGAGATGCTTATCCAGAAAAAGTAGGTAAAAAGGTCTTTTGATAAGGTTTATAGAGGTCGTAAACTGTTTACTCTCAGTAAGCAGGGGTCAAAATATAGGCTACTGCATCACACCATCGTGCAGTAATGGTCTTGAATAGTGGGTTCATGTGCTAAACACTGGCTGTTCTGTCTTTGTCAAAGTGCTAGCTACTACCCCTTCTCTGTGATTGTGTTTTACTAGGTTTTTAGGTTCTTCATTAGCTGAGTGAAACGCAAACATTTACCTTCTACCCACAGATACAAATTATTCTTAAAGGATTTTGCTGCAACTAAGCTTTTTTTTTTTAAAGAGCAATGCAGAATTATGGGCTTTGTTTAAAATGAAGGTTTTGTGTCCAGCACTGTCTTTGTGTGCTTTCCAAAGCAAAGTGCATATTTGAACTTTATTACTTCTCAGTTAAAAGTGAATAGTAGGAAAATCTTACGGCATGCTAACTAAGGATCTCTGTTACGTACTTTATGGTGTGGGGAGAAACGTACTGATGGGCTGCTTGTTCTTTCAGAGTGACAGGCTACTGCAGCCTGGCTGATATTATTGTGGCTACACCTGGGCGGCTCACAGACCACATTAGCCAGACCCCGGGATTCAGCCTGACACAGCTTCGCTTCTTGGTGAGTCAGCTCTGCAGGTCTCCCATCTTAGTGCAGTGTCTGTTACAGCTGTAACTCCTGCTTTGTTCTTGCATGATCCATCAATACTGTTGGAACTGTTGTATGAGCCTTGTCTATGCTCCAGATTGCTCAGGCAGTGGTCTCAAGATGAGACGTTTTATTCCAACTCGTGACATCCAAGTGTCGACCCACTTCCCCTTCTCTCTTAGCTGCTTGCAAACACCAACTCAGAGTAAAGCCTTATTGGTCAAGGTTGGGGTAAATTATCTGACTGTGGTAGCTTCCACCATGTGGGAGTCCATGCAGAGACATAGCTGCAATCTTATTTAGGATATGGAGACTTTTGTCTCTTACTCAGAGATGTGGATTGGATTTATGCGCAAATGAACTTGTGTGTAGTTTGAGTGTCAGGCTGGTTACTGAACCACTGAAAGAAAAGCAGAATTCAGTTTTGGGGTAGAAACTTCTGCCTTCATTCTTTAATGATAACATTACAAAAGGAAAATAAAAGCTGCCTAATGCTAGACAGTACGTAACAAGTAGTGGTTTTTGTCCTTGTGAATTCAGATCGTAGATGAAGCTGACCGTATGATTGATGACATGCACCAGAACTGTCTGAACCAAATCGTCAAAGCTGCATTCCAAGTAGAAAATGACTCTGGCTCCAACATGCTTTTTCAGAGGACCAAGCCAGGGCCTATAACAGCAGCCAGGCAAGTTGCAGAATGCGTTTCTTTGAGCGGGTAGCACGAACACCAGCACTTAGATGTCACTGCCTTGCTTCACAGTGTTCCCTCACAGGCACTCCCAAAGCTTGGTTACACTGAGAAAGGTTTGCCAAAGTAAGGCAAATGCTTTCTCAAGCTTTTAAAAAACAGACAGTGATCAGCTGATACTAGAGGATGTCTTTTAATCTGAAGCTTGAGTATTGTGTTCTCCAACTTTTCCTTAATTAAACTAAAGGAGCATCAAAAGAATGCACAAATATTGCAAGTCTGTGATTCAGAGTAGCTATAGTAATGCCCTCTGGCAAGCTGAGTAACGCATTGGAAGGAAAACTCTTGGAATTATCTCTCTGCAGCTGCTGTTTTCATACAGCATGGTAGAGATGTGTCAGAAACTGAGAACAGTGACCAACAGAGGAAGCAACTAGCATGAGGACATGGATAACTAGGGTGCAAGGGTGTGTGCAGTTGGTTTGAAAGTGCTGATCAGTTCCATCTGTGAACTCCACCATAAAACAAGTGTGGAAAAGAACCTACGGGAAAGGCCCAGGGCAGGAAAAGAGCATTAAATAGAGTTAATTTCTTCCCTTGTAACTTCATCTAAAGGCACTTGTGGAGGGGCTCCTTTGCCCCATCCTCAAAGCTCAGTTTCTCTGTGCTATTTATTTCAGCTCCTGCTGTCCTCAGATACCCTTACAGAAACTGCTGTTTTCAGCCACGCTGACCCAGGACCCAGAGAAACTGCAGCAGCTGGACTTATTTCAGCCTCGCCTCTTCACATCTGTCTATTCTGAGAAAGCACTCAGAGATGGAGCAGAGACTGAACAGGATTCTGATAAGAAATACACACTCCCCGAGGGGCTGTCGGTATGACATTAATACTCTTGAATAAATTATACTTGAAGATTTGTTTAGCTCTGGAGTATCTAGTTACGTTTTTATCCTATAAACAAATATGTTTTCCCTATGGTTGCTTGCATTATAGAGGTGCTGGGAGAAATTTGCTTTGGGATTATTTATGACCCGGAGAGCTCTACCTTTATGCATTTGTTTTCTCATTACTTGGTGTCATTTGGTTAAGACTGGATTTTTTTTGTTTGTTTTAATTAAACTCTCTTTATGCAGAGTTAAGTTTACCAGCAGTGGGTAGTGGAGATATGAAGTAATAATAATGTAGCAGCACTTAAAACTGTTCATATGAAGAACATGCACCCTGTAGATAAGAAGGCAGTGCATGTTGTTATTTGCTGTGGAGAAGTGAGCACAGATGTCCTGTCTCCACCTTGTGTTGTATCCTCCCAGCCTGTAAGTGTGACTTATTCTAAGGAGGGTGGTGGTGTGGGGTCTGGTTTTCCTGCTATTAGTCAGTTATAAAACATCTAAGCCTCTGTAGGCCATGGACAGGTAGTGGGTTTCGGAGAAGGTAGCCTTGGCAAGAAGTCATTTTTCTCTCCAAACTTCTTCCCTGTCAACTGCAGCAATGCTATGTGCCTTGTGACCTGAATTCCAAGCCTTTGATCCTCTTGCATTTCATGCTGGTAATGAAATTCACCCGTGTGTTGTGCTTTACCAACTCCAGGGAAGCTTCTCACAGGTGAGTTTATCAGTGAGATCACTATGGTAGGTTTGTCAAGTAATGTTACAGAGATAATGAAGTCACTGTTTCTATCCCATTTACCTACAGATTGTTCCTCCTGGTTCAGGCCTTTGGTGGAGTCACTGTGGCTGAATTTTCTTCTCGGTTATCTCCAAGTGAGAGACAGAGAACCATGAAGGAATTTGAACAAGGAAAAATACAACTGTGAGTATCTTAAATGAGCTTCCTGCATGTCTTCCAACACATAGGCTATTTCCAGCATGAAAAGCTAGGTAGAACCAGGAACACAGTTAAATGTGGTCCTCGGTAAAACACAGCGTGCAGGAACCAACTTGCAGAATGGGTGTGAGACTGGGACGTGTGGCTTTTGAATTGTTTACTTTGCATGTAACTTGGCCTGTTCTAATCTAGTTGTAATCTGAATTTCTGTTTATTTATAACAAGCAATAGATGTAACTGCTTGTTCATATAGTTGCTCAAAACACATACAATTCTGAAAATCTTGTTTAGTGTGTGTACTTGGCATCCAGCGCTTGTTGAAAGAAACAGATGTTGGTGCTAGCACTTAATATAATATTAGTGTTTCCTATCAAAGAAATCCGTGATCAGACTGGCATAAAGACTTCCATCCATGTGTTTGATTTTGCTTTGTGATTTTGGGAGCTATATGGGATTGCATCTGTGGAATGTTTCTGAGAGGGAGGTAAATATTTATTTTCTGGATTTTCTTTTTGTCCAAACCCTCTGCTTAAATTCCTCCTTGACTACTGGAATTTCTCACCTCGCTCTCTGTGTTCAGTGCTGTTATGGAATGTTCAAATAGCTTACAGGTTTGTACCTCCAGTGTGGGGGGAGATGACTGACTTAGTGTCACATACTTGGAGAACCTGGAAACACCCAGTAACTTAATGTGCAACAGTCAGTGACAAGCCTGTAGTGATGCTTGGAGGTCTGCAGGCAGACAGTACTGCCAGTGACAACAAGGGGTGACTTACAATGCTGCTGTTGTGCTCAGAGGCTGGCTGCCCAGTTGGAACAGAAATTAGCAAGAGTTGTGCAGTGTTCACTTGTGTTTTACTTGTGTGTGTCTGTGTCTGTGTGTGTGTAGTGCAAGAGATGTTACCTGAAAATGACTATATACATTTAAAACCAGGTTAATCAGCACAGATGCCACTGCACGGGGTATTGACATTAAAGGAGTGAATTATGTCATTAACTATGATGCGCCGCAGTTCATCAGGACGTATATTCACCGGTAAGACAACCAGGTACAAAAGCTTGCTTTATTTTGAAATATTTAGCAAAGGTGGCATGCACTTAAAAGGGTTTTTAGCATTAGATTTTTTCTTACATTAATGTGCAAACAGTTAAGTTGTAGACTTAATTTTGATTAAAATTAAGCCTGTAGGATCACCAGAGTAATGCAGTATTAAAACAGAACTAGCATGCTATTACAGAAAACGTATTTTACAGGAGCTAGAAATACTGTCCTGGACAGCTGTGAAGAAGCCCTGCAAATGTTCATCCTGTGTAACATGTAGCTAGTCCTGCTGTGCTAACCTCAAAGACCTCAGAATCAGATTTTCTTACATTTTGGAATCGGACTGTTGGGGCTGGTAATGGCAGTGACTGAGTGGCTAAACTGGCTTGATGCTACTCTTTCCATTTTTCAGAGTTGGAAGAACAGCTCGTGCAGGAAAAGTGGGTGTCGCTTTCAGCTTGGTCCTTAGAATTCAGGTATGTTGTTGGTGTGGGATTCCTTTGAGCAGGATGCATGCAGGGGCATAAGGAGGATAAGGTTCATACTACCTTCCACCTTTTCCAGTCAGCTGAGCTTTGTACTTGGAAACTTCAATTATTTCTTGACTCAGCAGCACATCCCAAAATGTGCTCACTGCCAGGCTGATAGGCAGTGGGGTGTCTCATCTTCCGTGTCCGTTTTGTTGCACAGGAACGTAGGTTTCTGCGGATGTTGAAGGATGCTGGCATCCAAGACATAAAGAAGCAGCCAGTGAAAGGCAACTCATTAAAGCCGTTGGTGCAGCAATATGAGGAAGCTCTGTGCAAGCTTGAGAAGACAGTCAAGGTAATAGAAATGGGAAAGAGAATTAAAAAATCAAACAACTTACACAGTATATTGCAGCTACTGACAAGCACAAGTATCAGTGTCCAGGATCCTTTCCTTTGAGACATTTCCATTTCAGTGTGAAGGAAATGTTTGTGGGTGCTTCTTTATGAAACACTCAGAGGGTAGGGAGGGGAACAAGAGGCTTTCTGTTACAAGAAAGGTAGGCAGCATCCCTGGAGGTATTTGAGAGATGTAGACATGGCACTTAGGGACGTGGTTTAGTGGTGGACTCAATGATTTCACACGTCTTTTCCTACCAAAACAATTCTGTTATTCGTTTCTACGATTCATGGCATTTCCTTTTCTGTTCTGCCTTTCTCCTTGCCTCCGGAGCTTGGATTTTGGCAACCACACAGGCAAAAGCAGACAAAACACAGAGATTAAACCTTTTGTCAGTGCAGAGTTTTAGGACTGTAATTTACAGCTGTGCTTACTAGAAGTTGGGTCTTCCAAGTCAGGAAAGCATTTCCTGCAGGCCCTCCTTTATACACCAGTGGGAAGGTTGAGAGCTTTCAGACAAAAGCAGGCTATTTAACTTGCCAGGTGGGTAGACCAGGGATCCATGATAGACTTTGCTGTGTGATTTGGACAAGTGTTCTGCTCTGATAAACATCTGTCCCTGAAAGAATTATGATTTTGAGTTGTAGACTAGGAATGTTTGAGAACTGAGGCAGAAAGGATTATTAAATTGTTCCATTGCTCCCCAAAATCCTTTCTGTGTGACCCTGAGACAGGGGCATCTTCACTTACCTTTTCAACTTTGATTTTTTAACAGAATGAACGAGCACAGAAACGAGCCTGAATGATGCGTTGTGATTCGTGGCACTGAAGCTGCTGAATGGGATAGGTCATGGACTGCTACTGAGCACAGGGACAAAGAGATGTGGCGCTTGGATGGAGCTGAACAGTTGGCTTGTCAACCTTATCATTTCTGAAGTCAGCTGTTACAGGCCTTGTTCCCCTTTCAAGGACACTGCAAACAGACTTCAGTTACTGGCTTAAAAAAATAAATTACAATATAGTTGTCTTGAATTACCACCAGTGATGAGAAGAGCCATTACACAGCTCTTGAGTGTGGGCCTTATGCAACTGCTGCTCTCAAGGTGAGGGCTGTGCCTGTCCTGCCACTGAACTGATTGGTGCTGCCTCGCTGCACAAGCAGCTGGATCTGCCCATGCATAAACACCTGCAGAGTGCCTATAGCAGAAGTGTGAAGAGCTGCTCTAGGCCGAAGTCACTGCAACTTTTAAATAAATACTATATATATTTAAAACAGTGTCTAATAAAAGATTCCTGCATATGGGGATGGGAGTAGTGTTGAAAGGATTTTTCACTTCTGTTCTTTCATGCCTTTCTTGTCGTTTTCTTGTCTATGTTGTTTCCTTCCAACATATGGTGCCTGTGGTAACAGCGGCTATTAAGTGTTAGATTGGTGTTAATGCTGACTAAAATGGCTGATGTCTGATATGGATGTGCTGGAGCTGGCTACTATCCCTGCAAGCCATAAATCTCTATTTGACACATGCTACTGGTATTTTTAGCTGCTCCTGGCAGAAAAGTTTGAGTTACTAAGTAGCTGCAGCCTGTAACTCCTCTCCAAGACTTTAACCAGCATGCACTCCAGCTCTGGCTTATTTTGTAAAACAAAACAAATGTATACCAGCATTAGGAATACGTTACTGGAGCAAAACCAAGGGCTGAGACCGTTGGAGGAGTGGGTGTCAGTAAGGGTGGTTGCATCTTGTGAAGACAGGAGCAACGTATGTGTTCCTGCTGCTCTCGGGCAGTTTGTGCACAGCACAGATGCCTGGGCTGGTGTCAGCAGCAACCAGGGAAGGTTTTCCATGCAAGAGCTGTGGGCTCCCGGGCGCAAAACGAGGATGTTTTGCAACCTTTTGTGCACCTCCATCCCCTCAGCCGAGATTTGCTTTCCCTTATCGTTAAGCAATTAAGGGCAGTTATTAAGATAAGCCCCAGTGCAAACACGAGGTGACAGTCTGGCTGGGACTTCGCCCCGCAGGGCCGTTCTCGCCCCCGGCCGCCCCAGCATCTCCGCAGCCACCCCCCGGCCCCCCCGAAGTTCTCCGCAGCCGGTACCGCGGAGGAAGGCGGGGGAAGCCCCCGGGCAGGGCGGTGGTTCCGGCAGGGTCTGCTGCGCTCCGCCCCCGCGGGAGGGCCCGGAGCTGCCCCGCCCTGCCCGGGTCCAAGGGGCTGGTGGGACAGGACAAGCCCCCGGGCAGGGCGGTGGTTCCGGCAGGGTCTGCTGCGCTCCGCCCCCGCGGGAGGGCCCGGAGCTGCCCCGCCCTGCCCGGGTCCAAGGGGCTGGTGGGACAGGAC